CTCAGATGACATCTTCTGGCCAACCTCGGTTCTGCAGGTACGAAATCAAAGATTTATTCCGTAAAGCACTGAAATGAAAATCCTTTTTGTTAAGAAAAACACCACAGAACTGTGGAGCATGAATTAATTGTATAAAAGCCACCACAAAGCAACAAAGACCATTTCAGAGAGCATGAAGGAAAGCACACTGAACAAAAATGGAAAAGAGCATGTCAAATGCTCCACCATCGGAGCTCCGAACCCCCCTGAACTGACAGTAAGCTGCTGGTTTCTGATGCACTTCAGTAGGCTGCAGCCAGGAAGAACTGTTTCCACTGCTAGCATCTTTTGGCTGATTTGAGAGAAGTACGAAGTCAGAGTCTGAACCAACCCGCTCTAGAACAAGTCCTTACAGGATTGGCTCCAAAATTTCAGCAGGGAGGCATGAGAAGCATGCTTTATGATCCACTTACCTGCTGTCTAGGGTCCCAGTACCCTTTCAAGCATTGCTCGTTGACCACATTGTTCCCCTCTCCATTATTTCTAATTCGAAAAAGCTCACCAGAAGGCAAAAAAAGTACTTTTTTTCTCTTTAAGAAAAGTGTCCAGTTGAGTTTGCTTAACCCAAATAGAAACCATAATTATGCTTCCTTTCCACAACTGCTTGGCTCCCAGTCATCTTTTTCCCTCAAGTTGTTAAAGAGCTTCAGTGAAAGCATTCTGAGAGTCTCTGACAGCACAGGCTCAAAGAAGCCAGACTTGAGTAGAGACCCCACCGCCTGTTAGCATGGTGCTGTAGTGCAGGCCAATGGGCCATAAAGTCTCTGAGCAGCAATTAACTAGTGCAATAAGAAATAAGACTAACTCTTACCTGACTGACAACTGCAGAGATCCAACAGTAGCAGTTTGACCTGGTTCTTCAGGATAAAGACAAATATTTAGTAAAATTTCAAGTGTTTTATTTGACGATACTACTTCTTTGAAGGTTAACCTCTCCGCAACAGATATAAAGAAGGAAAAACTTTTTTGTTTCCATGTCACACCAAGAGAAACACATGCCTTGGATTTTTACTCTTCTACTTTCTACTGAAGTATTAAGCCTGTGGTAGTACAGAGCACACACCACCAGCACGACCAATTGATATCTGACAAAAGCACAAGGTGTGCACAGTTCTCCTTTTAGTTCTCAGTACAATTATAGCTCTGAACAGAGAACCTCTGTTTGACTAAAACAATACCAAAAACCTCTTCCTCAAAGTTTAGACAAATATCTTCTTTTGGAAGAAAAGAAGAAAATTGTCCCAAATAATTTTCTTTTCTCTTTTACACCCCCCCCCCCCCAAAGACAAACACTTGGAATTAATGGAAATAAAATTAAGCCTCAAATACTAAGTACATGAACATTTGCCTTGCTACTGGTCTGTTGTAATTCAAGAATTTAATCAATGTTTCTATAGATATTGTATTTGTAGGGAATTTTGCATTACTTTTAAGACAATTACAACACATACTTGATGTGAATGTTACAATGATGTTTTAACTGCTGATGAACACATATGTGCATGTAAGCCTATCAAAGTTACAATATTTTTACGTAGATTGTCAAATTAACTAAAGCACAATTTGGATCTTTTGGCCAGTGAACTCGTGCTCCCTCTGCTGACTGGTTAATTTAGTGGAACCTCTAGTATCAAGATGTCCTTACTTCTATGTATTAACAATTATTTCCATTGTGGGAAAACCACAGAGCTACAAACACTCCAGCAAACTCACAATGCCTACTCCAACTATTTACTTTTACCCCAGCTTGAACATTTATGCTCTCTGACCTGGAATCTGGCATCTTTTCATAGGAGCATTCAGCAGAAAGAATGCCAGATTCCAGTACAGCAACCGAAACATTGTCTTTCATCCATTTAATAGAAATTAGTTTTAAGTGTGAAATGAATATTTTTACTTACAAAAACAGTAATCCCCCTCACTATTTACAAATAAGTTACCAAAACAAACAAAAAAAACTGCCCCCCCCAAAACTCCAAATACTTTACGGAGGCCTGAATACTTAAACATAAATAAGCATCATCATTTTAACCCAAGTCGTATTTCAACCCAAGGTTTAAGTTTTAGTGAAGAAAATAATTTTTTTTTCTAGTATTTACATCAGTGCTTAGCCTCAGATGTTTTACTTAAGAGTCATAATGACCATAATACCACACTTTGAGAGACAGAATTTGAGTGACTGTGGTTTTGACTATTGCTTCTCTGGACTGCTATGGAAATAAAGAAAACAAATGCCAAGCAGAACTATCATCTAACCTAAACCAAACAGACTGCCTGCAGAGATGTTTGTTCCAACATATTTTCAATATTGCAGGACTTGTGTCTAAATGTGCTATCAAATCTTCACATCATTGTGCTTGCAGGAGCAGATTAATGCATTTAGTTCCTTCATTTAAACATCGTTGATTCTCCCTCCAAGACACAAAATACTGCTTTCATTAATGCCCATTAGCTGTGTTTGCAGTTAGAGACGAAAATGTCTATGATCCAATTCAAACAGGTAGAATCACTATTTTCCTTATCACAAGTATTGGGGTAGGGTTGCTTTCACTGGCCTGCAACAAATTCCAGGGAGTATGCAGTTAAATCGTGATCTGCAATTAAAAAGAAAAAAAAACAAAAACCCAAAAAAACCAACAAACCCCCACCCCCCCCCAAACCCTCTCTAACTAGTTGTTTAATGTTATTCTTTTCCACTGTAGGATAATTACAGCATTGCACAAACTGAGCAAAACTAACATGAAATTAGAAATAGTACCTTTCTTACTTTCAGACATGTTCCCCAAAACAATCATTATCAATTTGCAGTTGCAGTTACAACAATCCATGTACAATAACATATCCAGGAGTAATACTTATAATGACATAGTGCTACAATGACTCTTTCAAAAGACAACCTAGATTTCACCACTGGGTGGTGAAAAGAACAAAACAGCTTATTTTTATTTTATGACTATATACTAGCTGGTTTGCTACATTACTTTTTGCAGTTGCAGGTTTGTTCTACATCAAAAGTTTTCCAGATTATCTTCATTAAAAGTGTATCACTTCGTATCAGCTCTAATATGGTTTAGCCCCTTTGTCCCTCTAGCTACACTGTTAAGTAATTTCTCTGTTGAGAGGTAGTCTAGAAATGCATTCTTTTACTGCTTTATGTCTAAATTTCAAGCAATGAAGCATGTAACTAATCACACAGAAGGATCTGTAAGAGCGAACAAAACAGCCCACTTAAAGCCAAAAGGGTTCAGGAATGCTGCTGAAGAGCACTCCCCTCCTCACTCAAGTTGCCTTGTAGGTAGACCAGACCCCTCCCAAGGTTAACACAGGGCCTGACCTTCACTGCCTTTTTTCTGGCAGATGAAATCTCAAGTCTCCGCAGTACCAGCCTCAAGGATGAAGGCAGACTTTAAAGTAAGTTGAACCCAAGCAATGAGAATTTCAACAACCTCTGTAACATCTTGCACATACCTAAAGTCTTCCTGCAGCCCATCACCAAGATCTAAGTGTGAGATTTCTTGAGGCAATCCTGTTTTGTAGATATCAACGCCAACAGACCTACTCATTTTATCTGAAAAATAGGGCTACCTGCCTCCAGGTTGAACTGCTGTATGTACTCCAAAATGTGCTAGATGAAGAAAACTTAAGAGTAAATTAGTTTTCCAGAACAGAGGTTTTCTAAGGATGCCTTCAGTGATTGCAATTGTAGCACTGAATTACAGGTCAATCCTGAATAGTCAAAAGCATGAATATTTTTTAAAAAAGCCGCAATATTTTTATTTGCTCTGCTGCACTCATACGAGTTCTTACTCAGTAGCAACAGCAGTAAACAGTCCTATATTCCCAGTATGCACATTCTTGTGAGCAACAGTTACTGCTGTGCATAAACAAGGAAAAGAGTCACTAGAGAACAGCATATGTGAAATTTAAGAAAATACAGCTAATTTGCAAGCTTGGATTGGCACTCTAGAAAGCACAGAATAAAACAAAACCCTTGTAAAATACACAAAAGCATACATTTAGAGATTAGAACATATATTCATTAGAGAAAATAACTCTGCACCTATAAGGAAAACCTGGTATCCAAAGGCAAGAATAAGAGTAAAATAAAGATTAAACATATTTATTTTGGCGAAATATCAGCACTGTTATTTCACTCTGCTAAGTTAAATCTGAAGAGAAAGGTGTTCTCTCTTTTGCTGTATTTACATTTAGATGGATTTTTGAACTCCTGGATCTGTCAAACTTCATTTAAATTACAGTTGGTGGATTTGATGCACAGCACTTCATAGATCAATACTTAATAAAAGGGTATATTCTTTAAGCAAGTGGAACACCTAAATGTTTAAGTCTAGTACTGTTAATTCCTACACAGGGAATCGTGAAGTCCCTCACATGTGTTTTAGCTGTAAATTGTCACACACATCCACACACAGAGTTAAGAGAATACGCATTCACACTTCAAAATAGTTGCAGAAGAAAATATGATTTTGTTTCCTAGCTTACAAAAAAGAATTAGGAAAAAAAATGTCTGACAATCCCAGGGCTCTTTGAACAGCCTTCTTTAGTGTTGTCTTCGCATATACAAGGCAATTTATTAAAGTATCTGACACTGTTACACCAAATAAAGGTTTGGTAGTTTGTTTATTTATTTAATTCAGTTACAGTGCTTCAATAGGATGCTACTCATTTCGCACAAGAGCATAAACTTTCTTACACTCCATGCAGCTACAGGTATTATCCATCTCTATTAAATTGTACGAGTCTCAGTGAAATTTGTCTCATTTGTTCATTTGGAAAGTTTTACCAGTGGTTCCCATGGAATCAGAACTGGGTCAGCAATCTTTAGTTCAATTACATTTCAGTAAGCTTTTATCAAAACATGTTTCTTCAGTGTGTACAGACCTGGAAACCCAGGGAACTTGCACCAAACTCACTTCTAAAAAGTTATTTTCAAGACTAGTAAGTAACAAAAAGATTTAGGAACTTCCAGACCATAACACTGGTAGCAGCTTGACTATCAGAGAAAAACAATAATGGTTTCAGTATCAAAGTTGGCTAGTGGTATAGAACAGCAGCAGTTCAAGTCTCTATTCATTGTTTCTGTAGTAATTTTCAATTGTTTCTGAATTAAAATACACCACAGTAACAGTGATATCATCTCTGTACATTCTTGCAAGGTCTTCAGGCAGTGTTAGCATTGCAGCAAGTTTCTCTTGGTCCACCTCCCCATACTCATTACTTCCAATTGCATGCCTTATTAAATGAGTAGCTATGTTCTGGTCAAGTGAGGCAATGCCTCTGTTTTTCCTCTGAAGTAACAAGCTGTGCATATAACCCAAATTAACTGGTTTCTCAAAAGCCAGTTGTGGTTTCTGCACATTAAGCTCTGTAAGGTGCCCAGCAACAAGTTTTACAACCTTCTCATTACTTAGCATCTCCCATAGTCCATCCGAAGCAATAACTAGAAACTTATCCTTGCTTCTTAATTTGTGGTATGTGACTTCAGGCTCTGCAGTTAAATAAGGGGGTGTATGGTAGTTTGGAGGAACGTACTGATAAATATTTAAAGACTCAACATCACAGCTATTCTCGAGAACACTGTGTTGCAATTCTTTACTCCATTTTAATTGCACGTCTCCAAAAGCTCTGGAGGGCATGAGAATCCCCAGTAATCTGTCATTCACAAATAGGGTTTTCTCCTCAGATCTAGGATGTTCTCTCTTCAGTCTTCTAATTTCAAATTCATCAAAGGCATTGTGGTCTCGGGTCAGAGGGAGAGTAGACCACGTTCCGTCTTCTTCATGAACACCTAAAATTGCTCTGCAATCACCAGTATTTGCAACATGTAAGTGAACACCGTCAATGTGAGCTACACAGGCTGTTGCACCAGAAAAAGCTACTTGAAGGGCAATATTCCTCATCAATTCATTTTCCTGGGGAGCCTGAACTTCCAGTGATATATCCGAGTCTAACCGTTTGAATGCACATATCATGGCTTCTTCTAAACTAAATCCTGGCTCGGTGTCTAGGTCCAGTAAATGTTGCCAGTAAACCCGGAGGTTTTCAAAATATTGTGAAGTTATTTCTCGATACTCTACATCATTTGGATGCTTGTGCCACTGCAGAATAGGCAGAACTGGTTTCATGCAGTCCACAGCAAGCTCGATCTCTTCCAAGGTTTGCCGAGACATGAGAGAAACTGCTATATAATGGAGCAGTCTCTCACTTACTGCCTGAGCACACGCAGAACCTGCATGGCCATCAAAGACTCCAAACATCATCCCTTTGGTCTGCAAGCACGTGGCTGCACTTCTGCGGTCTTCAATAGGGGTGTTGGATGCCAACTGGTTACTTTCAAACTTCAACACAGAATTTGCATTTTTACCATTCAAATCCAGTATTTTATGGGATAATTCACCTGCTCTGAGTATATCATTGATTTGTGATGGAGACAACTGGAAAGAGAAATGTTCTTCTTCGGTGGAAGTGTGTCGGAATGCTTTTTTTAAGGAGAAAGTATTGTCTAAGCTGCAGCTCCCAGCAGGGTAGAGACGTGTTTTGGAGAAAACAAGCTTCCATTTTATCTTGTTTCTGTTTGGGATACAGATGGAGTACAAACGTCCTTTTCCTTGTAAAACAATGCTGTTTCTTGCTGAGCTTAAGATCCAGGATGATACAGTTCTTGACATTATAAGTCACTCCACAAATAGGAGCACCTTCCTTCAGTAACACAGAATGTCCTTACAGCCTGTAATATAAGAATAGGAAAGGTATAAAACTTAGAAGGTTCACAAGAAGCTTTCTATATAACAATACAAAAGTAAGTCTAGAGCTCACAGAAATATTCATAACTTTTTTCTAAAAAAGACCACTATAGATAGAGGCATCTTAAAAGTGATATAATTTCCATCACTGAATTATAACCTTAGGATATGACTGCCCCTCTCCAGCTAACTCATCAGAAAACCTACTTTTTCTTTTCCAGGCATGTTTTTCCTCATTGTGGCAAGGCTAAGAAGAAATTCCAACATTACAAGAAATGTAATTGTAAACTGTATAGTGAAAAGCCTTGTCTAACATGACACAGAACAAACAGATCCAACAAGTTAGAAAATAGGAACTTAAGTGACAGTTAATGTGCAACTTTAAAAAAGCCTGCTAGAGTACAACTCTCTTAATACACTCTAAATAACAAAACCAAGAGAAAATCAGTACTCAAACCCTCCAGAAAAACTGAAAGATGTGGCAAATTAATGATTTATATGAATCGCCATGATCCTCACATCTCGAACAAGCTAGTCTACCTTTCCAATTCTGTTCCAGCTTGTAAGCTTGACTGTTCTTTTTTTTTTTTTACCTTCAAGGTCTTAACCAACCTTCACACAGGTAGGATTTTTTGCGCCACTGAAGGCAGATTCAACTGCTCTTAATTAATGCATTTATCAGAGCATTGTGCATTTTGATGCAGTGAAAGTTATAGCACAGTTACATTGACAGCTTTTACAGGTTTACAATTTGGATTGTTCATTTGGAGTGCAATTAGAACAAGCAGCTGTGAGGAGCTCTGCTGCCAACAGCACTAAAACCTAGCGTACCTGAACAGCTGAAATTCTTCACTTGCCATGGGGAGGTCCATCATATTGTCTCCTACTTTAAATAAGGTATTCAAGCTGTGCAAAATTGCTAAGTACAACCAGATGCTTACTCCACAATAGAATTTTGCCCCATGGATTTCAAAAGGTAAATGGAGAGCAGCACTGCAAATACAATTACTCCCAAAAGATCATGCTAGCAGCCAGTTAGAACAATACAGTTTTCTGTGAGCTCTGAACCACTCTCAGGCAGCCTGTAGCACCATGTGCTCTAGGTCTCAGGCCAAAGATGCTACATACTACTGCAATATTGGGTTTTTTTCAGCAGGGCAGTTCATGAGAAATAACAAGAAGCCAGCCCAGACAGCTGCATGAAAGCCTTTCAAAGAAATCAGCAGGAGCTAAAAACAAATTTGAACTATTCTAAACAAAAGACCTACTGATACAACCCAAGGACTTTACTGAAGTCCCATTTCAAAAGTGTCACAAAACAATTCTGAAGTGTACCACAGAAACACTGTTGGCTTAACAACAGAAAAGAGTAGACAAGCCATTCTAACAAGGACCCCACCGCTATAATTCTGGGGACCCTATGAGGACACAGCATAATTTTACTACTGATGTCAGGAGAGCAGATGGAAAAGGCAAGGCAATGCCAGTTCATTGCTCAAGGCTCGCCTGCAGTCTCCTGGGACACCGGCAACTCTCAACAAAACTGACACCTTTTGTTGTACCGCAGAGGGAACACAACCAAATAAAGCTAATAGGAAGACAGCTGAGTAACCCCAGCATCAGCTAAACCCAAAAAGCACCAACAGTGTAAGACAAGCCTTTGTGCTTCTTAACCCTTCCCAGGCTGTTCCCCATCCTTTTTTTTCTTCTTTCTCTTCCCACCCTTCTGAGCCACATAAGATTGAAACAATGACAATTTCATGTTCTTCACTCAAAAAGCCAATAGAAACAGCGTTTCAAACAAACTTACCCTGTTCGAATCAGCTGGCTGACAGACACAGCAAGGTGGTGTTTTTTTTCCTAGAAGCAGAGTTGCCTAATACCATTTAGACATGTGTTTGCCTAAGGTCAGGTAGTATCAATCAGTCCTGGAGCACATTTCTGAACCATCCCTACTCACTGTCCATAACTACAATTTTCACATCCTCAGGTTCCTACCCAGTCGCACTGTTGCAGACTTCACTGCTTCTGCCCAGGACACCCACCTGCGCCCAATAGCCACCCCAGCACAAGCCACGTTAAAAGACGGTAGCAGTGCTAATAAAAGCGATGTGGTAAAGACCATTATGTAAGAGCCAATTACATAAACCTTACTCTCCCCGCCTGGCACACCTACCACTTCAGCACCAAACAGGGCACTTCCTCACCAGCTGAATTCGTGTAACCACTGAAACCCAAACTGCCCCCCCGACACGGCCCGCTCGCTGCTGGCAAGTCGGGGTACACACTGGGGGCTCACGGAAGAGGAACGCCCGCTTTTTCCAAGAGAATAACAGCTATCCGTTACATTCAGTTTTACAGTCCCCCACCCCCCCATATTCCCCTCACGCACTCTCCCGACACTGCCCACACGCATCAAACCCCTACCCCACC